AATCTATGTCACCCATGTGTAGTGTGTAACCCTGTTATTATGGTCCCTAGCAGTCTTATCAATGTTTATACCCTCGTGTTTAGACCCCTTTGTTGGCTTTGGTTCCCTGCTGTCCATTGTTGTTGGTCTCATTCTGTTGCACTGCTGTTAGTCGGCTGTGTTGCTCTATTTTCTGTTTCTTAGTCAGTCTGCTGTTTTTTTCTTTGTGCCCTGGTACATTCATAGGTTAGTTTGTATTATTTTTGTAGCCTTGTGTTTTGCTTTCCTTTTGTTTGTTGTCATGCATCCCCCGCTACTCTGCCTGCCCTATGTCATTTCCTGATATAAACTTCTAAAAAACAGACTCTGCCAATGCATCTAACCACTTCACTTGCCCACCTATACTATAGATGTATCATGTAATAAAACATTGTTCATGCTGAAATGTGCTGTTCTACTCTGAGATCATAAATACATTTACCAGTGTGTGAGTCTTTACACTAATACTATTTATCTTAAGGCTTTTTTCATGTACTCAAATTATTCAAAACAACATAGAACTGTACCGAATTGTGTTTTCATCAACTTACCAGGCTGGTCAACTTTTACATCTAGTCCCTTCAGGCTGTTGTAATTGAATTGTTCACACATGATTTGAGCTTAAACTTCTAGTGATTTCTGTGATATAAAATGATATATGTCGGTAATTTTTTTGCAGTTTTTTTTATCTAATAGAATCATTATGCTTGTTGTGCTTAAGTTCTGCAGGTATTGCAGTAATGCTCTCATATTATGGCTAAGATTTGGTTGGAAACAAACTTAAATTCCTGATAAGGAAAATTATCCAATCAAGGACCTTTTTTCTCAGTGGTATCTAGAAACCTCCAAGTGAGCTCTCCCACTGGTTAGGACTTCAGGAGCTGAACTAGAGGCCTAACATGTCAGGTCAATCACTAATGTAACTAAGAACTGACAGTGGAATCAACCAATCATTTGATTCACAATGGGTGAGAAATAAACATTACTTTAGGCCTTCTGGAGCTTCTAGATACATATAAGTGGTAGCCTGACCAGTGCATTTCAGTCAGTTATTAAAAATGGAAAACAGCAGCAGGTGTCATGAGTCACCGTGAGACATGCTCAACATATGTTACCATATATGGTACAATCTTCAAATAAAACATGAAGATCTAGTATGGCCAGTGGCCATGTTCATCAGAATCGCTGTTAGCTCAAAGCTAACATAGTACTAAAATCTCATAAGTTCACTAGCAGAACCTAGCATTATTGTAGACGTGATCCCTCCCTCCTTTTTTGATGTAATTAGCAAAAACCTAAATGTACCCTGCTGTCATCACTGTTTCTGATGAAGTGATAGCCAAGTGTACAGTATAAAATAGCGTTCCACTGTTTGACCATATTTTGTACATGTTAAGGACTCACAATTTCCTTAATTTATAAGGAAAAGCAGTGGCTTATGATGGAAGCAGAAAAGCAACTACCATGTAAGAACTGTAGCAGAGAAATCATAAAGGAACTTCTCATGATTGAGCCACGAGCCTTCTGTTCACTCTTGGCAGCATTCTTGAAAGGGGAGGCATATGTGAGCCTTATATGTGATTTACAAGGAGCATTCCAGTATATTAGACTGACTGCAATATCAAAGAAATCCACTTATCTGCCCAAGAAGACTGATTTCCTAGAAAGACTGCTTTCACTCTTCTCTTTTAGCCCAATGATATACACAAAAGAAGCTAGCCATTTTCAAATCATAAATTCACAATATCTCATTCAGAGTCATTATAAAATCCTTTCATGCTAAACTGTGAACACCTTTTCCCATTTAAGTAGCATATAAGGGGGGGAAAAATGCAGCGAGTTAGCTTTTAGTATTGGCTGGTAGCAGGGCTGTAGCATTAGAGAGCTTTTATGCTAATCCGCCGTGATGATCTTTCCCCGCTGCGCTCTGTATGCTAATGCTAAGTGCATCAAGCCTCATCATCAGCTCCTTGGGGAGGCTGTGAGGAGATTGTGCTTGGAGCTGAATGGAACCAATTGGAGACGTACTGTAGGACACTCAATCAGTTATGAGTAGCATAGGGAGAGTTAGCAAAGATTACATATAAAGAACAGCATTCAAGAAGTAATTGAAAAGGCCATTTTGGTGATTGCATATAGTGGTAACAACAGGGCTTTAGCTTGAGATATTATTGGTGTTATTGACAAGACGTGCACTTGACTGAGCTCTGGCTTATATATTGCTAAGAAATTCACTCAGCAAGTGTAAATTCTTGAAAATGTTCCTTTTCGTGAGACAAAATGCTTTTTGCTTTTTTTCTCAGAGTGCAGTAGAGCACAGCCCCACATGTCACATCTGGTAGCAATGACAGGGGGCCAATCACCAAACCAAAGCAAGATATTTTACAGCCAAAAAAAAAAGAGAGTGCAACAGATTGTAATGTGCTAGTCCCTGTGACCAAGGCAGCTCTTTAACCCAGGGGTGGTGGGTGGTGATGGGGGGGTGGGCATCAGAGAAAGAGAGAGAGAAGGAAGTGTGCTATGCTTTACTGAGAAGCCTGGAAGACGATAAAACACTGGAGCATGAAGGGAAGGGAAGAAGAGTGTGAGTAATCTTCAAAGCTGCTGCACTTTGAGAGATCAGTGCTGCTGACCAGGCACAATGAGCGGATCAATGAGGGAGCAGCTCAGGAGCCAGAGGGGAGGAGAGGAGGAGGAGAAACACTTGCAAACCCCTCATTTTAGAGGAAGTTCAGGATGTGTAAGTGTGTGTTGTGTGTGTGTAAGCACTTCAGGCACTCAAGTCTTCATCTCTAAATATGACAATAACTTCTCCTTTTTATACTTTTACCTTTATAGAAATGCTAGAAACACCCTCCATAATAGGTTTACACAAAAAAAAACTGATAATGTGATTTTTTCCCTTTAAGCCAGGCATACACTACACAATTTTAGCCTGATTTTAAACTCATGACCTACATTTGTTTTATATTTTTTCCCCCTAAAGTCTACATATGACATTTGCATGGTACACTTAAAAATAGTGGTAATAATTCAGTTTTATATGACTATTTTCCAACCTCTTTTAATCCCTTAGAATTAAAAGGGCTGTTTTTTTTTATTGTGCTTCCAAGACCGTATATAAATAAGCTCTGTTCTGATTGGCTGTCCTGCACGGTACCTCATTCAAAATGCTGTCAGAGTTGCAGCACTCCTTAAAACTTCAGTCAGGATGAGTGGGACTAAACTACTGTAGAGTGATTAAGCAGATATGTAACTTCTGCACAGGTCACAGATTTTTTTTTTCCAAATATGGTAAATTCAGCACATAAACAGTAACTGTGTATTAAAATGTGCAGAGGTGTGCACTCTATAGAGGATGTGTACTTTTAATTTAGAAAATCAATAAAACATGAAATTTGACCAGACAGTGTCCAAACTGTAGACCACAGATATGAATGAGCCACTTGTTGAACTTGGCCAAATGTGTGAATACCTTTACATTGTTTATAAAATACATAGCACAACTTCAAAACAATCACTTTACAAGTTAGTTTGCCAGTGTGTAGTAAAATGCTCCTCCAGCTCAAAATGTGCAAAATAGAATGACGTGTAACTTCTAACCATATCCCCAGTTTGTGTTTTTTCTACACTTATTACATGTTCAAACGAGTTCAGTCCAGTTTCAGCTTTGTTTGTGTTAAGATTAATTGACCCTTATTAGTCCCACAATGGATAAATTTCACCTCTGCAATCTAACCCATCCGTGCAGTGAAACACCACATACACACTAGTGAAGACTAGGGGGCAGTGAGCACACTTGCCTGGAGCAGTGGGCAGCCCAAGCTGCAGCACCCATGGAACAGTTGGGGGTTAGGTGCCTTGCTCAAGGGCACCTCACCTCAGCTCAGGGGATCGAACCAGCGACGTTCCGGTCACAAGGCTGGTTCCCTAACCTCCAGCCCATGACTGCCCCATGTTACGTGATAACAGTAAGATTTGGGATCTTGAATTACGTCTGTTTTTTTTCCCATATCATTACCTCATGGTGTGCACTTGCTTATGATGAAAAAAACTAGAATTTCTGTAAAGTGCATGATTCTCTCTTTTTAAAATCCTTTGGAGTTTTATAAGTCGAGTAGTGTATGTTAATTTTATAAGTTGAGTAGTGTATGTCATGTCCAGCTTTATTCCAAATGTAGTCAGTCAACCAAGACATCTGAAGTGTCTGAAATTTTCTTGTTTAGTTTTGCACTGGAACTACAAAGCAAATGTAACTAACAACTACTAGAAGCTAATAGTCAGCAATTAGCACTGTGCAAACCGCATGCTGTAATTATCACACACTTGACTGCATCAGGCCATTAATTAATCTTATATAGTGTTGATTATGTAGTTTCTGACACTGTATCTACTTTTGAGTGACCCTAGTCAAATTACATATTTTGTTGATTTTCTAAGTACATATCCTGTACAGAGAACACATTTCTGCACATTTTGATACAAACTGTATTGAACATATTAGGAAAAAATAAACATAAAATGTGGCCTTTGCGAAAGTAGACATAACATGTGCAGGGCACATGTTATTTTGTATATACATATATATATATATATATATGCTAACAAACTAACTTCAGACATCAAACATATATTGCCTGAATAAGGAAAAAATAGTGTAAATTTGATTTTGGTCAAACCATCAGTTTGGAAAGAATCTGAGAAATGTTTAAAACTTTGATTTTGGCTCAAAGAAAAATAACTTATAACTCAAGACATCTTCACAATTAAGAGTAAACTAACACCAAATGAGAGCTAAAGTAACACAGAGACAGACAGTGAGTAATACAATGAAGAGAATGCCAAGAAAAGAAAGCGGAAGAGTCTGGAAGTAGAGGTGAAAATAACATGCAGGAAGAGCACACATGACAATAATGTGACACAAAGAAAACAAAAGGCAGCAACCTGCGTGCCAAATTAGGATAACAGAATAGGATGCAGACCTAGAAATATCCCACCTGAAGTTGAATCTTCACCATCTGCTGCTGTGACAGGGTTCAGAAAAGGGGAAAGAGAGAAAAAAGAGAAAAGCGAGAAAAAGAGTTAGATGCCACAGTTTTCCAAGATATTTGGCAAAAACAAAATTCAACATTCACTCAAGTTCATTTCATTATCAACTCATATTATCAAGCTCACTGGTTTATCAAACTACCTAATATCTAAAAATAATTCTTCTGTTTCCCTCCAGAAAATATCATTACCGACAATAATCCCGGAAGGGGAAAAATTAAAACAAAACGACTGAAACAAAACAAACCTCACACGCCGACGATTAAAAGGTAATTAATTCCTGCACTTCAACTATCCCATCATAAAAAGCTGTGCTCCTTTGAATCCCATGATTTCATTTGCCAAGAGTTAATGCAGTGCCTAAATACTGCTGCCCTGCCCACGTCCACCCAATGCTCACCCCACGTATGGCCTGCATTTATCATTCTGCGCCTGTGCTTAGAAATTACCCGCCTGAGCGTGCATGAGTTTGATTGTTAATCACTGTGTCAAGAGCCAGAATAGTGAGGACGAAGCCGGGCCCATCCTGCGCCATTACCGTCGCCTTCCATCAGTTCAATCACATTACAGCAAGAAGGTTTCCAACTACTGCACTCGCTCTCTTTATTGTTCATTGTGTTTTTGTGCTGAAAGACTTGCACCGATGGGGTCAGGATGGAGGGTTAAATAATGACCATTTGCTGCATGTTACGCTTTTGTTGGCTCCTGGCAAGGGATGCCTGTGATCTGTAAGCATGAAGGATGATGGGATTAGCAACGAGGGACGATTAAACTATTGACCTTTGGGAGAATCAGACCTAGCACAGTTTATGACCTATAGTTGTATGCAAAGGTTTGAACACTCCCCAGTCAAATTATATGTTTTGTTTATTCTCTAAGTGAAAAGAGGTTAACACATCCTCCACAAACTTAAATGTGAGATTTTCCTGCAAATTTTAGTACACAATTTCTAATTATGTACAAAATTTACAAGTTTTGGGGATTTGAAGACCTCTCTGACAGAAACGTGTTATTGCACACAACATGTGAAAGAACATTTTGTAATGTGTTTCAGGCCCCTTCCCCGAGCAGATGAATGTGATGTTTACAAACACGTTGAAAGAGTTTTCAAAGAGAACTTAGTCAAAACTAGGTGAAGGAAGTGTCTTCTGAGGAAGTGCGTGAATTATCTAGTATGGTCCTCATATCTTCACCAGTATAATGCTGCTTTTGTGTTTGAGACCAAAATATCGAGCCGACTATCAAGTGAGATTAAAAAAGATCTTCAACAAGATGCAGTGGCACTTCACAGGTCTCTGAAGAAGCCTGTGCTAGCTTTCGCCCTCCTAGCACTTGTGATGTCATGTGAATATATTTATATATGTGTATATATATATATTTAAGCAATAGAACATGAGAGGGAGTGTGTTGTCGTGAAATAACATGATTTGGTCGCAGGCATGACCCGAAGGCGAGTTTTGTCAAGCTCAGCTCAGTTTTGTCAATTTTTTGCAAGATCAATATTAATGCTGTTTTGTTCCCGCCAGTCTGTAAAGCATCTTACAGCCTATTTTGTTTGGCGAATGGTATTTGGCTCATTTCTGGCTAATTCCATGTTGTTTAGTTGCCAACTGAAAAGCTTGCTCAGTGGTAATGACAGTTTGGAATTCAGGGTAGACTTATCTTTAGAGTCTGACCAAATCGGCTGTAGGTCAAATGTAATCTTATCCATTTTCTGTTTGTGCGCAAAGTAAGAAGTAAAAACATTCAAATGGCTTGAGCATCTCCCACAGCTGTCAAACTCACAACTGTAGGAATGATACAGTGTTTGTGAAAAATATTTGCCATAACAGCACAGTTAGAACGCTTCTCAACCAATCAGCTTGCATGGCCGGAACTGACTGTTATGTATATGAGAGAGAGAGAGATCAGAAACCACTTTTTAGGTCCAATTTTTTACGTTTACAGTTACTGAATGTAGCCCATCTGTTGCTGCACAATGTATCAGTGGCCTCATTCTCATTCATTATTGGATAGGGACCACCCTAGAACCACCACAGACTAGATATTATCTGAAAGTTATCAGTGGCAGTGTAGCCAAAAACTGACCGCTGATGTAGAGCTAAAGGATGACCAACAAATTGTTCATGGCAAAAGAGGAGCTACACTGTAAAAAAGCTTGTCAGATCAACCTAAAAAATTACTTAATGCAGTAACAAGTAAATTACCTAGTTTAATTCAACCTTAATAAATACTTTGAATGAAGGATTCTTTCAATCAATGTAATTTTTAAGTTGAAAAAAAAATGTAGTTATTAAACATATTAACAAGCAATTGAAAAAGTTCAATTGCTTGTTACTACATGAAGTAATTTTTTAGGTTGATCTGACAAGCCATTTCTTACAGTGTATAGTATCTAACAGTATTTATACAAGATGTACAAACAAGGTGAGAAATATCTACTCAGCAGTGTTTTATTGATAGTTAGGGTACAGTGGGCTGATACACAGTCAGTAACTGTAAACCTACACCACCTATATAGTAGGTATACATGATAAAATGGCCAGTGAGTGTAGATACAAGGTAAGGAGACCTAATAAACTGGCAACTCTGTGTATTTCTGTTAATCGTTACTAATGAAGACCAAGACTCTTTAGTATGTAGATATGACACAGCTCATTGGCAGAGGTGACACTATTGAAAACAGCTTCAAAAGCTCAAAAAGTCCACAAATTAGTGGAGTAAACTGAGAGAGATTGAGCACAAAGGCAGCGAGTGGCTGAAAGGCCTCCAGTGGTCTCTGGGCTAACGGAGCAGCCAAATCCCTCTGTAATCACTAGACAGATGCAGGGGATGCATGCCAATATGCCACACAGCATCCACAGGGCACTATTCCTTCAGCCAAGGAACATGAACACACACAATCAGGTCACTGTCACATTGGTTTGTTGTGTTTAACAGAGTAAATCTGGTTTACACATTTTACATTGGGTATAGCTTATAGATGCATGTAGATGCACCCAAGCAGTAAAGTAATATATGAGCTGGGAAAAGCAGCACCATGTTTTTTTTTTTCCAGTGTGATTGAAGCACCCTGAATAGGCGCAGAGTTCTGGGCCCTGCACATTATGAACTTCAGCTAACTTTGTCTTTTTTTAAATTTATTTATTTATTTTATTATTTATTTTTGTTCTTTCCTTTTCTGCTTTATTTGTGTTGCATCCCATCTTTCCCTGTAGACCAATGGCATGACAGAAAAGCACAAAAAGATGGGTCCACATGCTTGAGGCCAACTTCGTCTGGCTCTAGTCTCTGTTGGAGCTGGTTTCCAGAAGCTTCCCCAAGGCCTGCATTATCAGCAGTCTGAGATTTCCTGCTTAACACCAGGGATTTGGGCCAGGGAAGTAAAATGTGGAAAACAAGGTTACTAACTGGTGCAGAAATGATCTAGATTTGAGAGTGAGTGCATTTTATGGTGTGTTGGAGCAGTCGGGATATCTATGCTTTGGCTATTAGAGAAGCATGTTTTAATAAGATATATTATTTATTTTTGGGGTGGTCCAATCTACTTTAGTTTTCAATTTCTTTATAATCAATTTTGACATATTTTATTCCCTAGTAAGCCATTGAATTTTAATTTAGGCAGGTCAACAAATGCAACCGCAATGTCTGCACTTTCCCCTGAGGCTTGGTCTTTTGCAGGCAAAATGAACACAGTGATTTGAAACATGCAAATCTTGAAATATTTCAGAATAGCTGACATTTTGTGCAAGGTACAACAACAGGTACATCCAAATGCAGCTTGTATATATGTCAAAACAGACATTGAGTGCAAGTTATTCATTTTTCAGAAGATGTTTCATAGATAATCCAGTCGCATAAGGAAAGGGAAGTCAAAGGAAAAGTTTCTAAAACGGAGTTTAAAAAGATGATTCAAAGATGTAGAAAAAATGTGACTTTGAGACCAAATCAAGGTCCATTCTTGCTTTAGATCTGAAAGAAAGAAAAAAAAAATCTGCAGATGTCTGTCCATCCTTCCACTGTGAGTAGATAGACAGGGAGTCTGCTGTCAAGAAGCTGTTACTGAGTAAAGGAAAAGATAAAAGAAGAACATTTGAAGGAGAGTATGCTGTGTTCTCAGAATAATGGACTGTCCAGACCACAACATAATCAAATGTGTTTGGGATTACTTAGACTGTGAGAAAATGCAACCAACTATTAAGACTGAACTTTGGAGGTGTGGACAAATATCTCCACAGATTTCTTTAAAAAAACTGAAAGCAAGTCTCCTGAAAAGAGTGGAATGCACACAGTAACAAAGGCAAACAGTGGACACGCTAAATTTGAAATTATACTCATTATACTACTGAGGCTTCTGTGTATTCTCTGTTAAATCTATGTTTTGTCCTCACACTGACTTAACATTGGTTGTACTTCTGAATCTGACTTGTGAGTGCGTTGAAAGAGTATTTGAAGAGAACTCAGTCAAAATTTGGTCAGACCTTCTTTTTGAGCCTGTGAGTGTGACGTTAATGTGTAAAGATGTATGATATGGTCTGAAAAAATTCCCCCCAAATCTGTCCCAGTACATCTGACTTTTAAATAATCATTTCAGATTTTGCTGGGCAACTCACAGTGGTGCACGCACACCATATTTTAGTGTAACTTGTTTGTAATGGTCACTTTGACTGAAAATTAAATAAACAGAAGCTGATATCTGACTTTTCCACAGTATTATTTTATATGACAATAAAGTCATATAAAAACAGTTGAAATCAGTCAGAATAAGAATCACATGCCAATTCAGATTTTAGGAACTTATATCGCCAATTCCGATCCTGGCTGATTCCAATCATGCACCCTTAATCATTATTTGCCATAAAAAAATGTAAATCTCTGTTGTTGGTTTTAATCAGTTTTCTCTCAGTGATTATTTAACAAATACATGCAAGTCAGTGAGATTGAGTTAGTTGTGGTGTTTCACTTAAACTAAGCA